GCTATCTGTACCAATGTACATCCTCTGGTCTAGCCAGATTTGCAAGGCAGAATTGGGATCATGATATTGGGGGGGATGAAGCATTAAAGAACTAGAGGAAAGTTATATGTTTCATCGTTGCTACCCTGCACCCTGACTGGGTCATCTCTTCCCCCAAACCCCTCAGCAGGGGGGTGGAATGAATTTTTGAGTGATGATTGTATCCCATGATTATTTTGCTAATTATTTGGCCATCAGTTGATTTTAAAATTTTTCTTTCAGACCAGAAACTAGAGAGCAGTATCCAAATAAATTTATCCAACGGGATGACACCGAGAGATTTTACATTCTGAACACGCTGTTCAACCTGCCAGGTAGACACATTCTGTGCTTATCGATACTGATGCTTCCTCTTCTTTTCTGACCACTTGTCGTTGCTCAGGGAGATGATGAGATAACCTCGAATTGTTTTACTTAGCACTTATGAATATCTATTCTTCATTTTTCAGAGACCTACCTGTTGGCCTGCCTAGTAGATTTTTTTACTAATTGTTCCAGATATACCAGGTATGTGTATACAATCTATAATTTTCCTTTTTCCAATTGATATTTTAATGAATTTACAGGGTTTTAGAGAACTGGCCATTGTAGGTCTTTTCTGCTTTTCTAAAGTGAATTTAGTGCTAGTGAGAGATGCCACATTGCCAGCCTGAGGGATGGGACGGCACCAGCAGCTCCATGCAGGCTCTCACCTCCCACACGGCCCCTCTCCTTGCCAGTGTGCTGCAGCCATGGTGGAAGGGACCACTTCTGATTGGCTCTCCTGGGAATGAAGACGCCAGCAGAGGTGCTAATTGTGACAGCTGAGTGGGAGGTTTGTGTGATGGTTATCTGTCCAAGCAGAATTACACTGAAACCCCCAACTCATTTCACAGCAGCTACCCAGGAGCCAGTCAGGGATGGTCAGGAGTTTCAGGCCCAGGCCCAGCCAGAGTGGATTCATTGAGGAGCAAATAGGACTCATTTTCCCTGAAGTAAATATGTGCCAAGTCTTGAACAGGTTATTCTCTCCTTGTGGGGAGACTTGCGCAGTGATGACGGCAAGTGTAACCATGTAAGTCAGAGTGTGCTAACTGCCTATCTGCCTAGGCTGTAGCCACTTCAGGGCACAAGATTTGGTGGAGTGCTGAGTCACGAAGCTGAATAGAAAACCGGTTATGCCTTTACAGCTAGGGACAAAAGGATGGGGAAATCCCAAATTAATAATTTTGTTTTTAAATGTTTCTTTGATGGGAGTCTTTTTGGGGTTTTTTAATGAAGAATTTTAAAAGCCTGATATTAGGAACCTTGACCTTTTAGCTTTCACTTATGCATTCTTCTCTCACTTTGTACTTACTCAAAATTGTAATACTCTAGCCAGTTTTGGCAGTTCAAATTTGGGTTTTCCAGTAGGGACTATTCATTTTCCTAATCAGACACAAATTAGCCATGTGATACGGAACCTTTGGCCCCGGGCAGTTTTTGATAATCTTTGTATTTACCCTCTTTTGGACTCCCTGTCTCTCTCTGCAGCTGTGAAACCGGATTTAAAGATGGGGACCTCTTCATGTCCTACCGCAGCATGTTCCAGGATGTAAGAGATGCTGTGGACTGGGTTCATTACAAGGTACCTGAAACCTGCTCCTTTACCTGCTCACCCCCTGCCGTTGTTTTATGGTCAGATATTTACTTTCCCAGGGCAAATGGATCCAGTAGTTTCCTTTGCCTAAAAAGGATTTCCCCTAATAATTGGTCTGCAGAATCTACTTGCTCCTGTCTCTGGCCCTCTGGCTTTAGAGGGAGTGCTGGTTTCTCCTCAGCACCGTGCTTAGCTTCAAGGTCTCTCTTGTATTTTAGTTTACCTCTCCCCAGACTTTCCTGGCACAGATGTTAGTGTTGAGCACTAAGCTAAACACTGATGTGAGTGATTGTGCCTGGTTTGTTTTGTTCAAGAACTTCTCCCCAACTAATAACAGTAATTAACATTAAATTTACTATAAACATTACTGAGTAGGAAATGTCTTTTGATTTCTAGTTTAAAATAGAACCAGTTTTATATTTTGAAGGCAAATTTTGGAGGCAGAATTGCAGCAACTCATACGTGCCATCATCTACTTTTCCAGTTTGGTAAATGCTTAAGAAAAGCATTTGAGTTGACAGTGTACAGAATTTTTCATATGAACCAAATGTTAATAGCGGATTTTGTTCTGACATCTCTTTCTTCTCCCCCCTAGGGTTCCCTTAAGGAAAAGACAGTTGAAAATCTTGAAAAATATGTAGTTAAAGATGTAAGTAATTTACCTTCTTTTGGAGGAAAAGAGGCCTGCACTGTAGCTTGCTTTCCTTAGCAGGGAAACCTAGTATAAGCCTCTTATAATGAAATGGCCATCGGAAAGTATTTTTGTCTTAACGCATGCCAAGTATATAATTGCCAGGAGTTTCCAGCCCTGGGTTTGTTGTTTGCATCCAGTCTGTCCGATGCCCCCTCCGCTCAGGACAGAGTAGAGGGATTCAGGGCTGTTCTCCTCAGGGAAGCACATTGCCAGCCGGGTGCTTTCTTTCAGAGCTGCTGGTGGCCAGTGGTCGAGTTTATGACCAGTGTGCCATCAGGCTTCCTTGTGAGAGTACAGGTCTCAGTAGCGTTTTTCCTATTTGTAGACAAAAGATGCCATATTTCATTTGTCCCTGTAACTAATTATAATGCTAGCAGAATGTGTATCACTGTACATATATATCACTATCCTAAGTGACTTCTACGCATTGTCCCACTCAATCTTCCTCGTGGCCCATAACTCATTCTTCTCTACTTTCATGGATGAAGAGACTGAGAAATACAGGGGACTGATTTGTCCAAGATGACATAGGTCATGAGTAGTGAAGCTAGGATTCACACCGGAAGCATCACCACTGTACTTGACCATCTCAAAAATGATGTGCCTATATGTGGTTGTTAATTAAACTAGTTTAACATATCAGCAGAGAATATCAAGGAAAGCTTAGAAAATATCCTAATTCAGGACTGTAGTAAATTCCTAAAAATTAAAAGCTGCTAAAATTTCCAACAACAGAAAAATCTATAGTTAATAGTACTTATCCCAACTTAAAGAGTTTTGATTACTGTAGTTATATGATAACATTAGAAGCTGGGGGAATGGTATAGGGAAACACTGTGTGCGATTTTTCCTTACATATAAAAAATGCACGCACACACACAAAATGAGCTGTCCCCCCTTCTTCCTATAGAGTATAAGTAGCAGTCCTTAATATTTTCTCAAAGCACCTTGTTTGGTAAAGCTGTTCTGTTTTCAGTCTGTTTCTACAGAAAGCACTGCGCGGGGAGGGCTGCTGCAGGGACTCAGTGGATCTCAGACGGTTTACTGCAGGAGAGAAAGGGTGTCTCTCTCTAGGGATAACGAGTTGAAATTTCTTCCTTGATGCGTAGGTGCAGGTCTGGGCATTTCTAGATGACAATCCTATATATATACATATATATATATATCATGGCACTTCATTCACTGTGTCCATTTTGGTGGTTTTGGTATCTACTGATGGTACTGGAACCAATTCCCCTTGGACAGCCAGGATGACTATTTTATTGGTGATGCTTAAAACCAGATTCTTCTGATCTGGAGCATACTAACTCCCATACATGTCAACGCTGTCTGCCTTCAAGTTGATTGTAACTCATAGCAACCCTACGGGGTTCTGAGGGTGGAAGTTGTTTAGGGAGCAGACAGTTGCATCTCTCTCCCGGAGCATCTGGTTGGTTTGAATTGTGGACCGTGCCGTTTGCAGCCTGTTGTTTAACCCGCCGTGCCACTAGCAGCTCCTTTGGAGAGGTGGCAGTTTAAATGCTTTTCTGAGGCAAAGATAGCGAGGGCTTGTTCACAACCCTATAATATGTACATTTAATGTGCAAGTCTTTGTGATGTATGTTGGTGTGCTGTAGATGCTACTACATTATTCATACATACAGATAAATATGGAGTTTTAGCTGTAAAATTTGAACACACCCTACAAGGAATCTTCCTATTTCCATGGACACAAAATGCCCTATCTAGTACCGGACTGCTGCCCAGTACGAATCTCAGCCTCTGTCGGTGAGTTTCTCTTACACGTTTCTTCTTACGTTTCAGGGAAAACTGCCTTTGCTCCTGAGCCGGATGAAAGAAGTAGGGAAAGTGTTTCTTGCCACCAACAGTGACTATAAATATACAGATGTGAGTGTTGAATATTCATATTTATCTGTCCAATTATACTAAGGAACTTTAATTCTTTGACCTAAAAAGAAATGGTGAAGGTAATGGGAAGGGTAGTAGTTTATTAAGTGAGAATAGTTTTTTTACCCTTTCAATTTGAAAGCAGAGTGGGAAAAGCTGAGCCAGAGGAACTCACGTTTTTTCTAAGTACAGGTTCCGCCCCCCGCCCTCTGAAGTGCTGTAAAGCACAGAAGCAACTGCCATTAAAAATAGCTGGGGGGAATGAGCTGATTAACAGTGAGTACAAGAAAGAAGAACATGTTCTAAAATCGGCTGTGGTGATGATTGTACAACTCTTCTTACTGTGACTTAACGACTGAAATGGGTGTGAATTAAATACCAATAAAGCCTACCAAACCATCCCCCAAAAACGCATCAACCCTAAAAGAACCCAGCACGTTTTGTTCACAGACTCAGTTCGGAGCTGAGATGCTGTGTCCCCCTGGCAACAGCAGTGACATCACTTGTGCTGCTGGGGGTGGGTGCTGCCTCTGTAGTGGCTTGTTGCAAAATAAATGAATGTTAGTTTCACTTTTCACGCCCCTCCCCTTCATAAACGCAGGAGTCGACTTCAGGTTTCTTGAAGACTGCACTAATGTGGTCTTTAGTGTGGGGGGAAGTGGGAAGATGACCTGTATTTGTGGAACCTTCATTGTTTTAATTACAATGTTATCCCTGATGACAATTAGCTACTTAGGGGATGTAAACTTTGAGCTACTTAAAGCATTCATGTTGACCAAGCATCATCTACATAAAGCCAAGCGATCATTACGTTGAGTTTGCCTGCAGTCTTGCACCTTATTTATGCATTTTCCCTTGCTCTTTTGAAGACCCCCAGCACAGTGGACATGCAAAGATGTTTGACTCTTAGCCATCAAAATGTACCACTGCAATTTTATTGTATGATTGAAGCGATATGGAAATACTGATTTAACTCTTTTATTAAAAAGAAAAACATTTTAAAATTGTGTTAGTGTGAAGGTTAACATAGCAAGTTGGTTTCCCATCCAACAATTTATACACGTTTTGTTTTGTGTTATTCCTTGCCATCCCCTCGTGTTTCCACTCACCCACATTTTCTGGCTCTTCCTTCCTCTGAACTTGGTTTTGGGGCCATTGTTGCCCTATTGGTCTCTCGTTAGGTAAACAGTATCACAATGTTTGCTTTATAGGCTTGTTTATTTGACTAAAGGTACTCTCTGAGAGAGGTTTTTATCAGTCTTTAATCAGACCAGTAAATCTGATCTTTTATGATTTTAAAATTTTGTTCTACATTTTTCTCTCTCCCTGCCCAAGATCTTCTGTGGTGATCCTAATGAGAGTAGTCCGTAGTTGTAACTGGGCACGATCTAGTTCTGCTAGTGGAAGCTGTGGTTCACTGGTCCTCTGAACAAATTGTTTCCTTGAGCCTTAGTTTTCTTTACTCCTCTCTGTTCCAATCAGAAAGGGAACAGTAGTTGTATCAGAAATGGCTACATATAAACTTTGAAGTTCCCAGTCGCTACTCATCGAGACAATAGGATGTTTTTATGATGTACCTCTCGCTTCTAGTCCTAAACCCCCAAGACAGTTATTCAGTCCCTTGGGGTGTTTGGTTTTGACTAAGAAGTTTGCATAACTTTACCTCTTGGATGTTCTGTATACCTGGATATAATTTATAGCATGTATAAATAATGTACGTGGAAAATGTCCTTTGCTAAACCTGTATCCTCAGATGTTTGTGGATGTACCCGCATCTGTAGGATTTTGTCTGTAATTGGATTTACCTTTGTTGCTTTTAACTCTTAGATACTTGCTAGTGTCCTCCTTTGCCAGGATCGTATTGTGCCACCACTACCCCCACCTCCACCCCCTTTCCTTTTCACCTTAGTACATGTCCACTACCATCACGGTAACCATCAAAGACTGTTTCTTCTAGGGTAGAAACCTTTTCTTGACTTTTTATAATTGTAGTTTTGTGATCGACTTACCTTAGTTAGCAAAATGTTTTCCAGGTTCACCCATGTTGTAAGATGCTTTTCAGATAACGTTACTATTTAATGCTGCATACTATTCCTCTGTGTGTGTGTTTATCCATTCACCTGTTGGTCACTTAGGTTATGTCTATCAGTTGTGAATAATGCCGTCATGAATATGGCTAGATGTACATCTGTGTCACTGCCCTGTTCTCTAGCATATATGAGGGCAGGTCAGAGTATTGCTGCTAGGTTTCAAGACATACATGCCTGGTTTTATTATAAACAAAACACGCTTAAACATGTATGTCTCTGAAATCAATGGATGCTTGGCTTCAGACAAGTATGCTCAGTAATACTTCTGTCCTAGTCTTATTAGAGCATCTTTTAAAAAATTATTTTTGTGCCATGGGCAGAAAGCTCAAGTGGAGAAATTCCAAAATCACTGACACTTGGGAACAAGTTTATAGGTCTGCTACCCCACATACAAGAGCTGGTTTTCAAGGACTTGGGAAGACTTCAGAGATGATTCAAGAGCGGGAAGACCATTAGCTCTGAGGAAGTCTATAGAATCACCATTAAATGTGACAGCTATTGAAGTGGGGACCTCACACGGTTCAGCATTTTTAAGGTAACAGTGACTTCAGTAAAAGCTTTCAACTTGACAAGTTCCCAAAGTGGGTGAAGATCATTTATTTGGAAAGCTGATCTATCAACTAGCAAGAACAAAAGAAATGAAGACAATTGTAACCAGGGACATGTCTTGGATTGCCAATATGATCCAGAGAGCAAGGTCTGATCAAAAGAATGGCTTCTGAGGGACCTACTAGGCCAGTTATGTTCAGTTAGCGAAAACAGGTACTAATGAAAACTTTCATGAAGTATTTTATAGAAGTTAGCCGTATATATTTATGTTATAAATTGGGAAGATTGCACTTAGGTCTTCGATCCATATTGAGTTTTATATTCAGTGTGAGGTTTTACATAGAGATTGATTTAATCTAATCTTTTGCTGTACAAGTAAGTAACTCAACTCTCTCCAGTCTGTTTATGTAAAATACTGGGTTATTTAGTCATCTAAAACTGCTGGTTGGTGGGTCTAGAACTGGTGGTAGTGCGACCAGGGCAAAGTGGGTCTTCTTTCACATGTCATTCATTTTCCTTTTGCCCTGACCTCGACGGCCTCTTAGCTCCAAATGTGTTTCAGAGGCCACTAGGAGAAGGGATATATGGATGAATCACATCTCTTAAGAGTGCAGTGTGTGTCTTACCTGAGACCATCAGAAGCATTCTTTTTTGGAGGGTGGGGGTGGATGGTGGGGAAGGTATGATGCGGCATTGCTTTCTGGCTTCCAAGACTGGTGAATTGAAAGACATGTTTTATAAAAAGCTTATGTATGCCTTTTTAAAAATTAGATGCCATGTGTCTTTTGTAGTAGTAGTATATGAACTTTGTTGCTTTTTTTTCCCTTCTAGAAAATTATGACGTACCTGTTTGATTTCCCACATGGCCCCAAGGTAATCTATAGAACTTACAGACAGTGCATTTACTTACCCTGAAATACTGAGAGGAAGGAATTGGTCAGCGGTTAAAGGTTCCCATTAACAGAAGTAACCTAGGCACCAGTAGAATTTAAAGTCACTAACAATTTGAATACTTTGTAATAAATAAAAGCAGTATGTATTCATGTGGTATTTAGTGGAGTGGGATCAGAATAATATGTCCAAGAAGCTTGAAGCAGCATTGTTAAATTTGCACAGCAACATAAAGGAATCTTCCAGGCTGAGGAAGACATGTGCTTAAAAGCAACTTGAATGTGTACATTCTAGACAACTTCTGTGTTCTGCTTAGTTATTGCTGAGTTTGAATGCTGAGAGAACAGATTTAGCTGAGAAGTCCTTATTGCTGCAGTATAGCTGCACTCAAATGGAAAAACCACCCCTTACTACTGCATTGCATATTTGTGGGGTGTTGGTACCCAGTTTCTGTGACTAACTGTCAGGTTGAGCTCACTGCGTGGTGTGCTGTGCTCTTCAGTTCAGTGGTAAAAGTGTATTGCCATAAGTCCTTCTCAGGCTAGAAATAATTCTGAGTCCGTGTTTACAATTCAAGCCAAAGGCCAATAGAGATATCATTCTGAGAACAGAGCTAGTGAAGTTGGCTAATAACAATTCCATGTTCCTTTGTACAAATTAGTGCTAACGCTGCATCTCCCCCAGCGAGCCTGCTTTCATGTTTTACATTGCTGTGAAGTCAATTACTGGCATCCAGTAGTAGATAGAGATTATTAGTCATTGATTTTTATTACCTACCTCTTACCTGCTTCTAAAGCTGTGACTTATAATAGAACACAGTACATTTTTGACACTTTTTGGAGGAGGGTGGCAGTCTGGCTTATCCTTGAGTGTTTTACAGCCCTGTTTCTGGGTATTTGTGCCTTAAGGGAATGTGTGCTAGCTATGTCAGCTGCTGCTTTTTGTCCTTCCCCAGCCCGGCAGCTCCCACCGACCATGGCAGTCCTACTTTGACCTGATCTTGGTGGATGCACGGAAACCAATCTTTTTTGGTGAAGGCACAGTATTGCGCCAAGTGGATACCGTAAGTCAGAGGGTGTTCCGTATGCTGGTGTTCCGTCTTCCCTGGTTCTCCTTGCCCTGCTAAGATTCTCCCAATGGGAATGGTTGTTTAAATGAATTAGCTCTCTCTTTCTTTGGAAATAATAGGCTTTGAGTTTTAACCAAGGTAGTCAAACAGGCTGCTCAATCCAAAAAAATAAGTACCATCCATTTGGCTTGCTGACCATGTCATATTTTGGGTGGAAATTGTGATAGAATGGTGTTACGAAGCCCATATTCTCTTTACCCAGAAAACCGGCAAGTTGAAAATTGGCACCTATACCGGCCCCCTACAGCATGGCATTGTCTACTCAGGAGGTGAGTCCCAGCAGCCTTCACTGAGTGTCGATCCGCTCAGATCTCTTGGTGCTCTCCTAGCAGAGTGCCCCATAAACTTCCAAAGACGCCATTCACCTGTGGTGCGGCCGGGAGAAGGGCTGGAGAAGCTGTCAGCATGTCCCAGTGACTGTGTCCTGGAGGCATTTGGGATGACTCTCAGGTTTTCACGGAGCTTCATGGACACATTAGAAACCATTGAGCAAAACCACTTTAATGGCAGTTCCATGATGGGAAGTGGTGGAGGTGTGGGCTGTATTCACAAAAGCTGAGAAATAGTGTTGTTGCTCTTGGATTTGGTGATCAAGAGTTGTTAGTACAATGAAGCTGAAGACCTTGACTTAGAGGTGACTTGAAGATGGTGGGTCTTTGTCTTTAGAAGCAGTGACTGTTCTTCCAGGCTCCCTCACCTAAGAATCAAGTGTACTATCTGCGCAGCTTTTAATGCGATGATTTTAATATGGAGACGTTTGAGTTTCCTCATTGTTCATTCTGTTCCAGGTTCATCTGATACAATCTGTGATCTGTTGGGAGCAAAGGGCAAGGACATTTTGTATATTGGAGATCACATTTTTGGGGACATTTTAAAATCAAAGAAACGACAAGGGTGGCGAACTTTCTTGGTGATCCCTGAACTCGCACAGGAGCTGCATGTCTGGACTGACAAGAGTTGTAAGGAACCACTACATCTGACTTTATATCTAAACAGCCAACTTTCAATCAGTCCACATTTTCTTGTTTAGAGGGGGTGGAGATCAGAGGTGGTCAAAATGTGAGCCCTGTGCCTAAACCTCTTTCCAGTTGAAGAGCTGCCTTTCCCGGTTCACGTCTTAGCGACTGGACTCCACAGTTCTGGCCCTTGTTCTTCCACCAGACCTAACGGTTCCAGGCTCCCAGCTCATCTCTGATTCTGGGGCAGTGACGGCTCTGAATGTTAATCACCTCCCAGTTGCTTTCATTTGTTGTTCTGAGAAGTCGCAAATGAAGCAAAATGCCTCTTCTGAATTCAGCCGAGTTTCGGGGTTGGGTGCACCCGCAGTGTGGTGCAAGAAAACTCAGCCCACCTGAGGGGGGCAGTCCTGGCTCCACCACTTAGTCCCCACACGCCTTGGGAAAATTAGCATGTAATAAAGTCAATGAGAATTCACTTAGGTAGTGACAGCCCTACCTCATTTATCACATTCAATGAGCTCGGGCTCAATTCTCTTGGGAAGCCCGGGCAGGGACACAGAAAGTGTGCAATCAACCTGGCTGTCCGTACTCAACAGTGGGATTTTCTTCTGGCCAGCTTTTCACCCATTTTCTGCATTGCAAGTCAAATCTATCTAATGGATTTGGCTTTGCTATTTCCTGGACCTGTGACTATGGGCAAGTCTCCCAATTCTCTTTTCATCTGAAACCGGAACTGCTAGCACTTGCCCTGAGAACATGGGTTGGCATTAGCTAGAACCCAGCCTGTGGTGGGAGAGACTTGTGGGTAGGGGGCCAGGCAGTTAGAGGAAAGGCTGTCCACAGCTTGGGGGTGGGGGACGACAGCAGGGAATGAGGTGTGTGTCCTGTGTACCGTCAGCACACCAGGCTTTACTTTTCTGTCCTGACTGCCACCTCGCCATCATCTAGTTTGGGTAACAATTAAAAACTGGGTGCATATTATCTAAGATGTTTTTCTTTTCCTTCCAAATCCTAATTAGCACTGTTTGAAGAGCTTCAGAGTTTGGATATTTTCTTGGCTGAACTTTACAAGTAAGTTTCCTAATTCTAAAATCGTCCTCCCTAAAAGCCTTTCTTTCGGCAGTCATCTAGCTGGAGGAGATGCCCTGGCTATGGGCTTCACGGGGTTCTCTCTCTGCAGGCACCTTGACAGCAGCAGCAACGAACGTCCCGATATCAGCTCCATCCAGAGACGCATTAAGGTATGCAAATGGGCTTTCTGGGAAAACTTGAGGCATAAGTTTAGTCTAAATGATGCACATAGCCAGTGTTTGGTCCCTATGAGCTGAAAACCAGTCTTGTTTTGTAGAAAGTAACACATGACATGGACATGTGCTACGGGATGATGGGGAGCCTGTTCCGCAGCGGCTCCCGGCAGACCCTCTTTGCCAGTCAGGTGATGCGCTATGCGGACCTCTATGCAGCGTCCTTCATCAACCTGCTGTACTACCCATTCAGTTACCTCTTCCGAGCGGCCCACGTCTTGGTGAGTCACCGCACCCTTAGCTGTCAGTCTCAGTAACACACACATCCATCCTAGTGGATGGCACTAGAGACTTATTTTACCAAACATTTTTGACCTGTGGTGGGCACAGCGCACAGGCAGGTTAAAGGGTTGCACAGTAGGCATCTGATAGACGGAACTTACTGTGCAACCCTGCTCTCTGAAATCCACTCTACTGAAAGTTGTGCTTGGGTGTGTTAGCACACATTGAGAGAGGGTGTTTTTAAAAGTCCTGGCGCTGACCTGTTTGCGCCTGTGGTGAAATAAAGTTCTCTCCTCACCCATCTTATTAGATTCTACGTTGCAGTGTCCAGGGGCAGGAAGGCAGGGGAGGGATGAGTGTGGTACGCCATCCTGGGAGGGAGGGCTGCATCCTAGACACAGCAGGGCCCAAGGGCTTGGGCGGCAATGACGGCATCGCTGTGCTGAGCTGCTGGCTTTTCCCTAGATGCCGCATGAGTCCACAGTGGAGCACGCACACGTTGATGTCAACGAGATGGAGTCCCCCCTTGCCACCCGTAACCGCACCTCCATGGATTTCAAAGACACTGACTACAAGAGGCACCAGTTGACACGGTCAATTAGTGAGATTAAGCCTCCCAACCTTTTCCCACTGGCCCCCCAGGAAATCACACACTGCCATGATGAAGATGATGATGAGGAAGAGGAGGAGGAAGAATAAGAAGGAAAACCAAACAAGTTCTGGCAGGCCTCACAGGAGCAAAGGCTGTCCTGTTTGGCTGGGTACTGGTGGGGGAGGGTGAGTCCATCAAGGTATATGGGGCGGTTGTTGAAGACTTTAAAATATGCTAATCATAGAGAGATACTTGTTTTAGTTTTGTGTCCACTCTTGGCAGATGGTTCATTATTGTAATGAAGAAAGTAAAGTCAGGCTGAACTGCATACAGGTGGCTCCCATCCTGTGACACTTGTCTCCTTGTCTTTTCACACCATCAGAACAAGGAGGAGGATGGGAAGAGATGATCTGGAAATGCCGTAATGTTACCATCTTTTTCATTGATTACACAGTATTGTCTATCCCTGGAGAACGTAAATTGTTTCCATTCTCACATGGTCTATGCTTGGGTCATCGTCGTTTCCCTTGAGAAGCCTGTATGGGGCACTAGTCCAGCTTTGCCCATTGGTGGCTGTGCTGTGCTTTGTGGCTGCTAGCACCAGTGCTACCAGGAAGCTTGCTCTCCACTGTGGTAAATCCGTGGGCGAGTTTTTGGTAGAAGACAAAGGAGCAAGCCCCAGGGAAGGAAGGCGCCTCTTGCTGACTTTCCTGCATAGCTGAACCCACCTAGCAGTGGGCCACAGAGAGGTGGCCCGAGCTGCTGGTTCCAGGTTCTCCCCTCCAGGACCTAAGGGCTGTGTTTCAGAGGTGAGCGTGGGAAAGCGCTCGAGGGACTTCAGAATGAAGGAGAAGAATTCACTCTCTCTAGTGGCACCAACTCCTTGTTTGGAACAAGGACGACTCATGACTTTTATATATTTCCTTTCATTCTTAAGGCTATTGGTCCGGAGGGGAAGGTTGTGATAGATTGGCTGCTCTAGGGCTCAATGAAGTATATTTCTAATACGGACTTTGACCCACTTCCTGCATACAACTGTAATAGGTACCAGTCACTGAATGGCTCAGTGAAATCAATTTAAAATCTTTTTTTTTTAAAAAGCCAAATATGCCCAGATCCCTTTTAGTTAAAAAAGAATTATTAAATAACAATCAGACTCATTAAAAATTATGCACATGACACTTCATAAAACTCACCACTGCTGTCAGTCCCCTGGGATTCCCACGGCTGTGTACCGGCATAGAAGCAGACGGCCGCATCTCTCCGGTGAGGGTCAAGTCATAGCAACCTTTCTAGCACTTTGTCTGCCACAGGTTTTTTCCCCCCAAAAGAAACCATTTTGGAAAAGCACTGCGAATTAAGGAGGTTTTCCTTTAACATTCACATATAGCTAGGAAAAACTGGTCAGTAACTTAGCCAAAGCCAGTGGCACTCCCTCACCAGTTCTAATGTGTGCCTCTAAGGTACGTTGTACCAAGAAACACTTTCTAATTGGTATGGGGAATAGAGCTACTTTAAAGTATCAGAAGTGCTATTACACATTAAATGCGATCTGTCCACATTAAACGCCGTAGGGAGTATGTGGTCACCCAGGTATGACGACACACCTAAGACGGAGGTGTTTCCCAGTCGGACTTTCATTTCTGTGTGGTTCATCACAACGACAGTTAACTCACAATGGCTTGTTTACGTTTGTTAACCTTTCAGAGTGAGAACCAACAGGGCTGCTCTGCTGCCGTTTGTCCAGGGCCTACGTAAGCTTCTTTTTGGCCCGAAGACTCTGCTGGGGCAGATACAGAAAAACAGAGTACTGGGATAGGCAAGCACTGATCCCAATCACAGCTCCCCACAAACCACCCAAATGAATCTGCACAAAGCCAGGCACCCAGAGCAGTGCCTCCTCCCAGTGTGCTGGTCTGGATACTGGTTAGAAGGGTGGTGTGAGCAGGTCCCCAGACAGGTGCTCAGCAGCACAGCTGTAGTGGGGTTATCTAACGTGACTTCTCTGCTGCAGATAGGTGAGCTGAACCTGAAACGTTACTCTTCCTTTTTTAATAAAAACAGTTTTCTAACATGAATCTAAACCTGCATCTGTAGGCATCTTGAAAACCCACGTACTTTTGGACTTTGTACCAGGTACCCTCTTTGGGCACTCATTGAACTGGCAGCCTGCCAGCACTGGGATGCTGAGCCCCCAGGCTTGGCCCAGGACACAAACCTCTGCAGAGCTGCTCAGGCCTGGCAGGGAAACTCAGGACAGCTGTTTAAAGCCAAGAATGCATAGGGTCCTGCTAAGATTTTCCCACTAAACACACAGCTCGGCCAGACCTCAGATCACAAAGTCCGCCCCTCAAGTCTAACCACTGCCTAGAACCAGACTAACTCAGCGCTACAAACCTTTAAATCATGCTGGTGTTATTTTTAAGAAACTACTTTAAAAAGCTACATATAGTTCCATGTCAGAATTAAAAATACTTTACCTATGTTTAAATATTTCTAAGATTTATTGATTTAAGGCATTTTGTCAACAGCTTTAAAACGCCACAGCACTTCCAGGCTGCGGGGGCACTTAAAACTCTGCTTTTTGCCACAAATAGGCCCAAGACAAACAACCGCATACTTTAGTCTGCTTTGGGGTAGCAGCCTGTCCACATTCCACGTTATGGAAACTATTTAATCTCTGTTTGATGGGAAAAATGGTAACTATAGGGATCCAGCTATTGCCAGTTAATTGGCCCGAGTCCTCCAGGAGGAACGAAAATGCTGACAGCCACTTGGTTTAGTAAAATAACACAATACTGATGTTTCTGACAATATTCTTTCTTGTGACTTAACACATACAACTCTCCTTAAAGACCTGTCCTCAAATGGAACAATTTTAGATGGTGCACAGCTTCGGTGGTACCCCGAGAGTGACCCCTCTACCGTGGGGCAACTGGAGTGGCCATGACAAAAAGGTGCGCCCTGCTACCCCAGAGCCAGGGCACCATTCCCTCCCCGGCCAGCTCATGCCCAGGAGCCTGGCTGTTCGTCCGGCAGTGCATCTCCTGGTTCTCTCAGTGCTGGGTGGTGACAAGTGGCACCTACAGAGCCTGGGTTTGTTTACAGGATGAAGAACAGCCCTTTCTTCAACCCCGGTGCTGTCTTCACCCCAAGGTCCCAGGACTCAGACTTGTTCCAACACAGGTGCATCATTGAATAAAAGCTATGCGCAAGTCTATAGGTAGGCTGCTATGAATAATTTTGATTTAAGGGAGGAAAACAGGTATTTCCAATTAACCACTTTTAAGCTGCTCTAGGGAATCTATTTCTCAGTTTCAGACAAAATGACCAGTCTGACCCGATTCCTTTGCTCCATTAAAAAAGTGAGTACACGAATTAAATCAAGTACAATGAATGATATCTCCACATGCTCCACTGCCTTAATGCTTTTGAAAGCCAGCCCTCACCGGGGATGTAGAAGAGGCCCAAGAAGTCTGGGCTGAGAAACCGTCCCACCACAGCCTGGAGCCTGGGCAGCCCAGGGCACATTCTTCCCATGGAAGACGGCAGTCGGCCTCCAAGTTGCTCAAGTGCTTGAGATACTTGGAAAGAGGATTTGCCAAGCAAACCTTCGCGCACTGGGAAGTCTGCCTTTTGTCCGGGGGTTCTCACCAGATAGTCTTTGACTTGTGGGTCCAAGGAATTTGAAGTGGCTTTATTCTGGGAGCTTCTGCCCTCAAGCTGGTGATGTAGGTGAAGCTGGCTCAAGCTAAAACACCTGTCAGTCTTCTGCCCGAGCTCCACGATCAGATACCCTCGCAGAAAAGGCACTCGGGCATCCCCTCTAGCCACCCCTTGTCCTGAGACTTCTTGACAGCGCAGATGTGAGGCCCTTGGAAGGAAAAGGAAACCATCAAAATGCAAAGAAAGCAGGACAGTTCATTTAGCCATCTAATTCAGCTTTTTTGGCTTTAAAGGACATCTCTTTATTAAATTTAACTCTCTTTAGAAAGTGTAAGTTTCTAGCAATCAACCCCAGACTCTAAATTTAAAGTTCACTCTGTTCACCCACTTTGTCCACAAGCCCCTCACTGAGCTCTGCATCTCGGAAGTGCGAGCTGAGAAGGGGCGTTGAGCACTCTGCCCTGGGAACGAGAGACCCGAGTCCAACACAAAGCTAAGAGAAGACACGTGTCCCACATGGACAGGGAGAATCCCAGGCCTGCAGTAGAAAAGTATTGTCATTTTCTTCAGAGCATTTCCTGATTCACGCTCACAACTCATCTAGGCAAAACAGTGGCGCAGGAAAAACCAAAGCCAAGCCACAGCTGGGAGTGGATGTGCTGAAAAGTGATTTGCCTTCCCCAGCCTGGCTGCTGCTTTCTCTCCTCAGGAAAGCAAACGTACTCCCAAGAAGGTAACGCTTTCCTAGAATACAGTTACAGACCGCCGCCTCCACTCTGGAAGCCAGAGCAATGACCGGGTCTTCGAAGGCTTCGGTGGGAGGAGGCTGGTCAGACAGTGTGCCAAAGCCAGTCTTCCTCCACTGAAACGCCCCCATGCCACAAGTAAGAGATGGCAAACTTCATAGCTACTTTGATATGGTTGGAAACATAGGCATTAGTAAGAGGCTCAATTCTTTGGACTGTAAAGGGAAAAAGGAATAGTCCCAGTAAAAGACGTAGTCAAGGGCTGGGACAGAGATCTTCAAGATCCTGTCACAGGGCTGAGGACCATCGGTAGAGGGCTAAAAGTTGTGGAACAGGAAGGGGGCCCTACACGGACTTACCGGGGAGCCTCTGTGCACACCACACCCATGACCGGGGATTTTCACTTCAGGGCGAACCATCGATCCTGCTCCGACCTTTGTCCAAGGGTTAGTGTAACAGGTGAGCAAACTTGGTTATCTTCAAGAGCCCATGGAAAGGCCTGAATGGGCTTATCTTAGAAGGCAGGAACAGCTGGTGCTCCAGCTGAACTGTTGTGGGGTGATGCAAGTGGCTACCTGCACTCGGGTCTTGGGATGAGCAAAAGGTGAAGGGCTTACAGCCCTTGTGCAGAATGCAGTCACCATCTCACATTGGCTTCCCCAGCCTGTAACCTGGAGGCACAAAACTAGAACCCACATTTAATACATGACTTGGGGGTCAATGTCCGAAGAAAAAGTACTGCTGTGCTGCCTAATGGGACTAGCCCTAGCATCATGGCACC